CATATAAACTGCTCCCTCTCTGCTGTTACCCAGTTACAGGCTCTATGGTCTTCAGTACTGAGATGGCACTTTTGTGCAGGAAGATGTGATGTCCTGAGAACTGTGTTTCCTATTCGAGATCCCTACATCACAGTGTTGTGTTCCCAAGCTCAAGTTCCAGCAAAGCCTCTTCTTCCCCCATTAGCAAGACTTGATCCAGTAAAAGACAAAGGGTTAAGCCTCAAACAACCCACCTTTAATATTGTGATATAAGCCCAACCTTGCTCTCTTTCCTCTCACTTGGTACCACAAGGTCAGGAGTGTCTGGAATGGCTCCCATCTCTGAGTAGCATTAAGTAGACATTGCTATCTGCCCTCAATCTGGGCAGCAGACCTTGGAAGGCAACTCATTGGTGGCTCCAGAATAATTGTAAACCAAAGGCAAGGAACTGGAATATGATGGTGGAGGTGGCACACATCCATTTTCCTTGTCACCCCATGGAATACACACAGATGAGCAAGCTCTGGCATGGCACATTGGGCCCTATCCTTGTAAAGCATGCCATCTGCTTCCTGTTTCCTTTACTTCTTAGTGTTTGTCTCCAATTCCCAGCCTGGTTGCCTGAATGCACCTGCTACAGACAGTGGTTCTCAACCTCTGGGTAGGGACCCCAGGGATATTATTGAATGACCCTTTCACAGGGGTCTCCTAACACCATCGGAAATATCAGCCATTTACATTATGATTTGTAACAGTAGCAAAATTACAGTTGTGAAATAGCAATGAAAATAATTTTATGGTTTGGGGTCACACAACATGAGGAAATGTATTAAAGGGTTATAGCATTAGGAATGTTGAGAACCACTGAGCTGGGAGGAACCTGGGGTCTGGCCACTTGCTATGTGCTCATACCTCCTGGCTCAGTAGGGCCTTCACAGAGGGCTCATCCCTGCCTCAGCTCTACCTGCTCCTAATAAGATGGATCTGTAGTCCACACTGACATCCCCACTCCTTGTTCATCATGTGGAGGACACAACTGTTATGTCTTGTGAGCCCCTTTCAGTCCCAACACATCCATTTTCCAAATGACAGTCCCGAGCAGAGCAGTTACTGGAGCTCTGAGCCATGCTCACATCCAAGAATCTTTTTGAACCAGCCAGCAGCAATACCACCTCACCACATAGGGAAGAGTGGCTCTACTGGCTCCCTTCTCCACACAATCATGAGAATTTTTTTTAAAAAGAAAGTATGAGAATATTTTTGTCAGGAAAAAGAGAAAGGAAATATTTTATTTATTTGTGTTATTTATTTTTAAAACAGTGTCTCTCTAAAGCTACATAGCTGTTCTGTAACACACTATGTAGACCGGGGTGGCCTCAACATAGCATCAGATGTCACAGAGGTCCACCTGCCTCTCCTACCCAGTGCTGAGATTAAAGGCATGTGCCACCATGCCCAATGAAAGGGAATATTTTAGATAATGAAAGATTTTTGTATGGTAATATAGGATTTTGCCGTGGATAAAATGACCGGGTTTTCCAAAGTCAAAAAGAAAGGAAAAAATAGGAGGGAAAAACCAGGAAGCTGGATGAGTGGCAAAGGGTCAAAGTGAGATGCACAAGGCCTTCGGTGCTGGGTCCTGGGCTGCTCTAGGGATTCCTTAGGTCAAGATTAAGTACATCCACACAACCTAAAAGCCAGTGCTCGCTCTGCTTAAAACAGGGAGCTCTTGTAAGACATTAATTGCTCTCAGCATTTGCAAAAATGCCTTAAAGAATAATTAAGGTAATTACTTATGCTTTTTGTTACCTTTGTCAGAATTTAACTACTTAGGAAACCCAGTCTTAGGTAAATGGTCATTAAGTCCAATTTTTTATGTTAACATCTGTAAACAACCACTTTTAAAAAATAACGACTTATATAAGTTATTATTTCCAGGTACATTTAATACCTCACATATCTGTGTGTAGAGGTTTATGTCTGAACTTGCTAACAATTAAAGATAATTAATTCATATAGAATGATCAACTCAACATGTGTTCACTTTTATACAAAATTCATCAGGTATTTGTATTATTTTAACCAACACCAATCAGAATTAAAAACAAACAAAACCACAACCTTGCCATTTTGGAAGTCCTGCTTTTTAAAATGCTGTTCTGTATGTCTTCACCATGACAAAAGACATACCTTGCTTCTGTACACATAATCCACTTACTACACCTATGTGTGATCATTAACACTGTTCTCCCTTATTCGTCCAAAGTTTATTTTTAAGTAGTTAAAGAATTATATGGCTATTGTCTGCAGACATTCTGCAGAGGCACAACCTGTAATGGGGAACCTCATTGGTGATTTTGGAGGTGCTAGACTATCACCCACAAGAAAACAAAATGTAAAAAATAGACTCCAGATAGGCCTAAGAGCC